GGCATGAAATGTACCTTTTTCTCCAACCCAAAATGGTGCATACAATCAGCAATCTTGTGGGCCAGATAAGCACCAGTATGCTTTTCCGTCAAGCTGCATCAGGATGTGTAATACAATTGAGAAGGAAACAATAGCACAGGGTCATGAGCCGCTCACCGAATAAACTCCAATATTGCACGCCATAACCTGGTGCCATCAAACCAGACGATAATGATTCCTAGGTATGACGCAACAAAGGGGGCTGTCCACCCATCGATGATGAGGTGTACAGTACCTGTCAACTTCTGCAGAATAAAAGTCAGTAAATATGTGCATCAATGACAGATCAGGCTTACCGCAAAGTATTCCCTAATAAGTTTCGAGCCCTGCTAATATATCTGTTGAACATCGCAGGAAACAGTTCGTGGCGATGGAATGGCAGTTCCAGGCCACAATAGCTCAATTTCCTCCTTGTAAAAGGGGTCAGCCACAGAATTAAATGGGCAATGCGATGATGCGCATCACAGTGCTATTATAGCGCGATGTTTGTGAGGTGTGTATGATGAAATGGTATTAATCAGGGTTTGCTGTGCACCGGCAGCTGACATACTGGTCGGCTCAACTCCGCGCCACTTGCAACACCCCTGTATCCCCCGATCAAGGTTCTTGGTTCCATCTCCTGTCTTCATCTGATCACGATAATGTGTTCTGTGATTCTTCGGATCGAATTTGCATGTAAAGCCGAACTGCAAGAACAGCGGGGTCTTGTCATCTTTGTAGATGCGCTTGAGGCTCACATTGTAATGATCATAGCACTTCGACTTCCATTTAGTGCTTGATAGACCTAACAGGCAGTATACATGGGATCAGAAATGTCACAAAGGAGGAATCTCGGACTTACTGATAATCTCTTCGTCAGTCATGCTCCATACCTCGAGATCAGTTGATGCCTGTGTTCAGCCATTGCGCTTTTTTGTCAGTGACACTATCACAGCTGGGGCTGCTGGGCATGATGCAGACAGATCAGATTTTGATTGAGTGTTCCTGACTGGTGAGTCGGAGACTGAGATCGAAGACTGAGACCATGCTGATAATGACGTATGTTCCATCACAGTTGCAGAGAATGGGAAAGCAAATGGGTCCATCGCTGTCATAGCTAACTGGAGGGGATCCCTGGGGTGCAGTTGTAGAGCACTGGCCCAGGCTGATGCGACATGACTTAAAGTAATCTAATTTTTTGCAAGGATCGTGAGCAGATCCGCGTGTGACACACCTATTGTGTTCAACTTAGCAATGAGGCGTCGATTGTTATATCTCATTTGATGCGCTTTCGCTAATTCCCACATGGTGGCACATGAAAACAGGAACATTGAATTCAAAAGTTACATGCTAAAAGCGAGCTTGACAGGATCTTTGTTCTATCTGTTAGTGCCCAGAAGGCTGTCCGCACACCACAACTTCTTTAACGGGTAATACCCGGGTCCTACCCATCCTACCCGACAGTACAGAGATGGTCACCCGTACCTGACCCGGGCCACAGATGCGGGTTACCTGTGACCCGTACAGGTCACACCTGCAGGTCTAAGCACGGGTCGGGTCACAGGTCGACCCAGGAAGGTACCTACCCGTGTCACTCCCTAACACAGTGCAAAGGCGACTAACTACCGCATGCACCACGGGAGTGACGACCTCGCAATCTGAGTGTTTTGAACTTTATGACTGCTTCAAGCTCGCGCACAGCTTGATATGTTTATAAACCTCGCCATGGACCACGAGGATAATCTTTTCATCGTTGCTCACGAGCGGCAGTGCACCAGCATCTACGTGACATGGTCAACGACGTGCACTCAATGAACAAGACGGAAGCGATATCCGCCAACACCGACGATGGCCAACCGCTCGTGCGCGAGGACAGTCTCCTTCCTACAGTAGCAACCTGACCAGTCCGGTCCTTGATGATGGATTTCCTTCCCATAGGCTATCACCTGGACCCGAGCCGCAGTGGGGTTCTCAAGACCACGTGCAATAACAACGTGCGAGTATGTCTTCAAAACTTCAAAACGAAGAGGAAGACGGCGAGAAGAAGGAAGCGGCAAGAAGCGACTGTAAGCGAGTCGGAGAACTATCCTCTTTCTTTTTCAGTTCTGGTAAACGCGTCCTTTAATCACGTGGACCATACACGCGATCACGTAGTATCACCCTCAACGCGGTCCATTGCAGACAGGAGAACATCCGTTGGCATTCGATATCCTCACATCATCAATAGTCTCTTGCTCCAGCTCATCCCCACAAATTCGCATTGCCGAAGTACCTATCCCCCTTGACCTCATGCTTACTAATGCGGACGGACGCGTTCTGATTGACAAGGCGCGAACAGAATGTTAGAGCCATCGCTTGACGGTCGAAGACCCAATCACCACCGTGAAATGTATCACAAGACATATCGCTGGGAACGACACAGCATACGTCTTGGATGTTTGGTGGAATCGCTTTAAGTGAATGGAACAGCGATCAAGTAGGGCTTGTACATCCGGCACATTATGACCTATTTTAAGCGTGCGACCTTAGTAACCGGGAAACGAGTCGGTCCCTTCGCAGGCCGAACTACGGGCTTCCGCAGATCCTCCAAGGATGCCCTGCGAGACGAGGGAGAGGCCGTCGGGGATGCGATGGATGAAACCGTGCTGATCGAGATGTCACTGTCCGACTCGTAGCTGTCGTCCCAGGCTTCACCGTTAGCATCATATTCCACCTCCGGCCCCTTCGTTCTAAACGGGCATGGTGGAGCCAACAGCCTGCATGGCCGCCGGTATGGATGGGCTCACGTGGACGCGATAATGGGTACTCCCCGCAATTGTATGCTGCAGCACTGCAAGCCGGTTTCCATTAGGTGCGTGGACATCAGCGAGCAGATGGCGAAGATATGCTGCCTGCTCCGCAGAGGGCTTCGGCGCGGGAATGGACTTCTTCCGCTCGCCCACTATCGTTGGCCGTGACTTGTGTGGATGGGCGAGCGGATCATGTCGGCTGTCGCAGAAGTTTCGCCCAATGCAGCACACGGGTACGGTGAGGATATATGCCTCCGCATCGGCTCCTCCCGCTTCGAATGGCGCGTCGCCTTCTTGTCGTTGGCCTGCGCCTTCATGCCGCGCTCGACCTGACCTGCTGGAGTTGTTAGGATCCAGCGCCTTCATACTTTTTTTCACCGACACACTCAGACGTCGTCCAAATCAGCTCCGCATTCTGCTCGTTGCGATCATCAAAGTTGGCCGGCGTCGCGTCGCCTTCTTCCGCAATCGGAGACTGCTGCCCGACCGTGACGGCATCAGTCGTCTCGTCTTGCTCGCCCACGAGGTCAATGCTCCGTCTTCGTGGACCTTCATTTGTTGGGGCTCGGCCTCCTGTGCACCCGTCTCCAAGCTGCGGCGGAGCGGGTCCGCCGGCACAAACGACGAACTTTGTCCAAGGCGATCGCCGGAAAGGCGTGCGGATTTGCGCGCAAACTGTTTGAAGCGATATCGTCTGCGGTCCTTCACATAGTCCTCCGGCTTGATGCTCAGACTGAGGTCGTTGAAGTCCTCGTACGTGAGTGAGACCTTCTTGCACTTCTCACACACGAGAATTCAGGGGAGCTGGTTCCCAAAGAGCATGTCCACGAACGATTTAAGCTGCTCGCTCTCCGGCAGTGTCGAAGTTGGGGACCTTCCCGCAGTCGATGAGTTGAAGGTAGATGGCGCGGGCGTGCGTTTCTTTCCAGAACGCTTGCGAGACTCCTTCGGCCATGGAGGCTTTCTCTTCTTGAGTATCTGGGGTCGTATAAGCGAGCGTCGCACTGTGTCGGACAGTTTACATACATCCAATTCTTCCATCCGCGTCGCATCCAGTATGTGCTGCAAGAATTTGCTGTTGATAGTCCATGTCACACTGGTCATTCTTGTCCCCAATAATGAATAGCAGCTCTCCGCATCGACCATGAGTTTCAGCTGGACATGAAACATTGATACACTCACTTCGGACTCATGCTCTCGCGCTTTCTGCTCTCCTCCTCATCACACCAATGAAAAGATCCCCCAAAGGTTCGTGTCGAACGCCGTTCGTGAGCTGTGGCGATCGGCTTACCCGGACAGACATTTGAAGTATGTTGTATACATGATACCTGGCAATTTGACATCTCCCTTTTCGCCTAACGGCAACAGCTTAGCCTTCAATGATTAACTGTGCTCTTGGGCGGCTGTCTAACTTAGTACCCTATTCCTAATCGCCGGTGTTCGAATCCCACTCTTCCCACTCGCTTTACCCCTTCTTAGATAGATGTAGATAGATATATTCTTAGCCTAACGATAACAGCATGGCCAGCTGTTACCGTTAGGCTAAGGGTATTGAATTTATTTTTACTAATTCTCGTTGCAAAGAAAATACCGATTCCCGCAGTGAGAAAGGCATGCAAAGTTGTGGATTCTCTTTGACTTTTCGCTGAAGCAGCATCAATCCAAGACGGGAAGCCCAGCTCTAAATGCTTCTTGCTACTTGGTAGCTGGCAGCACTGTTGAAGATGACCTCAAAAGCCAGCTCGAGGTTCTTCGAGCATTATCCTAAGAAGAAGACAGCAGCCTCGAAACCGCCTTTGGACGCAAATAAATCGCTATATGGTAGGCCGGCCCATCTCAAAGCTTTTAAGGCGATCAATGTTCACTTCCATTCAGTCATCTGGCTAGGAACCAACGATTGCGGGTATGTAGGAACATACCATAGATATCTTGCGACACTGACCAATGGCTTACCCATAGACAAACCGACCCCGTCAGACCTGGAAGATATTGTAGACAGTCTTTTCACAAATGGTCTGGACGAGCTCTACGTGAAAGCTGGCGCTCGCAACTTCCTCCTCATCGACGTCCCACCGAACGAGCGCTCTCCAGCAGGTTCGTATCGTTCTGCTAGCCATCTATAGCTAACCTCATATATTGTGGTGTCATGCAGCTACGATCCTGTCGACCGACATTTCTTAACAATACCGGATGTGGAATGAGCTACTTCACGAGCGGGCCAAGTTGTTCGCACAAGAACGCAAGAATGCGTCCGTCTTCTTGTTCTCGGCCAACGCAGTGATATCTGCGATTCTCGACGCTCCTGATGAATATGGATTCCAGGAGGAGGATGTATCCGAGGAAGATGGTCCGAGGAAGATGGTCCAATGTGGCTGGACGACATGCACCTAACGAGCGACGTTCACGCGATCATAGCCGAAAAGGTGCAGAAAGCGTTGCGTTCGGTGGCACGTGGCAGCGCATAGTTCGTCGTCATTGGTAGATAGCTGTATCCAGAACGACAGAACAGATTGTGGGAAGCTGCGCTGAGCACCGCGTCCAGAACAGTGTAAAATGCGCACTTACAATATCGAAATCATATCAAGCTTGATAGGCTACAAGCGCGGAATGAGGGTACGGAACGGGCCGAAGTATCGAACGCAAACTCCTATAGTGCAGTTGCGCAAAGCGTTGCCCTTCCTGTGCGTGCTACTCCGAGCTTTCTGTGACGTTTTTGGCATTACGCTCGCGTAATGCACTTTTCTCAGCACTCAGAGAAGTGGATGTCCCCGTAGAGCTCGATTGTTTTCAACTGCTGTGAATCCTGGCCGGTGTCCCCTTTCTTGAGTTTGGCAGGTCCATTCGACACCGTCGATGAGCTGCCTTCTAGACGTTGCGTGCGACGAGCATCCCATATCATGTATAGAATAGCCTCTGAAGTTGCAACGACGATGGCAACAAACAAGGCCAGTAGGACTTTCTGGCGCGTGGTCACGGACACAGCACACATTGGGAAAAGGCTTTAGAACCTACCCATTCGTCCTTCCAAGCAAGTCTTCCTGCCGCCCACCATGTCGCTACGCCAGCGCCTCCTATGCTCAGCAGCGCATTGATAACTGCAGTAACCATACGCCTATCGCTGAGATCTCGCTGCGCTTGTTCATGCTGAGTAGATGCAGTGTTCATGGAAGGGAATTTACGGTCGGGAGAGGTGCGTACCGGCCAACAGCGATATCATACTGTAGTCACTGGGCTGAAGAGGAGGATCGTTCTCTCTTAAAGCCCTTTCACCATCAGCAGAGCGCGCCCAGGAAGCGATTGACGCGAGCAGTGGGTATGGGATCGTGCGAGACGATGCAGATGCCTCAGAGTTGTCGGCATCGAGAACGGCGGTCAATTGCGAGGAGAGCGACGAAGTCAGCATAGGAGGTAGTTTCCGCAATGCCTCGAGGAGATGGGTTCAAGCGATATGTTCAATTCAGATGCAGTATCCAATTTCGACATGGTAGTCCGAAGGTTAAAGATGTGCATCTGCGCGTCTGAGATCGGCCGCGTTTCACTTTGTCTCAAGACTTCATCTCCGCTCTTTGCTCTCGTGCTCAAGGAATTGTGACCAGTCAACATAGAACTCAAGCAGCGCTGCAGTCTTCTGGGGACTTTTGTTTGCCTATGTCACATCAGCCTCAGGACGTCTTGGAGACAGATGGAATTGGAATCGTCGATCCTCTCATTCGACGGGTGCATGATGTTCTTCAGGCTTTTGACCGCCACTCCGTGCAATCTATCCTTGATCTGACCGATGCTTTGAATCAATGTTCAATGTTGCTTGCGAAGGATCAGAGGCACCGGTGCGTACCTGATGTGTTCTGTCTGCTGAGTGAGCTTTGAAGTCATCTAGACATGTTGTAGGCGAGACCAACCCTGCGCTGTGGAAGCTCGTCCAGGAATTGTGGAAGATGTTTGCGGAGCTACACGCTGATGAAGATATGATATCGACGACACAGCTTGCTACGCTCTCACAGAGTCTTGCCAAATTCACCCGGAACCTGGTGGCCGCGGAATCATATAACCAGCAGAGAGTATTGTTCGTGTTCGCCTCGTAGATTCTTGTGAATGCAATTAAGAAATCCACACAGTCAGAACAAAACCTGCCTCCGTGCGATGGCTCATCAATACACTTCGTATACAGCCTTGCAAGAGCCGGCATGTCCGTCGTCCGCCCAGTCTCATACCTATTGCGACTGAACTCAGTCACAGCCATTGCAAGCAGTCGAATACTGGCACAAGCATTGTCAAATCTGGTGACGGGCAACGAGCCTGTTTTACAAACTATCTGGGAGATGTACTTGTCGCTAACGGAAGAGCAGCTCATCCTTCTGTACGACCTTTAATAGTGGTGCATCCATGTCCTTCTGACACAAACACAGGTGCCTCTTCGCTTCCCCTGACATGCGAACTGCCTCTTCCACGTTCATATTCATCTTGAACTGCGTCCATGGAAACAGGGGACGTCTGTACGCCATGCTTGCATCTTTGTGGCAACTTATCCCTCATCGATGAATATAAGGGAAATGTTGATTCACAGTCCGAGAGGCCCTCGTCTATGCATCTGCATGCTCGACCGTATCAACTCTCTGGTAGATGCTGAAGAGGCCACAGACGGGGCTCATGCCTTCGACGTAGGGTACATCAACTGCTTCGTTTGACATTTGTGGCCTGCTGACCTCTGTGTTTATCAGATATGAGATGTTCTCTCGCATGGCGGAAGGCGGGCTCATCCCAGCCCTATATACGACGATCGCTTTGAGAGCAGTTCTGATCGATTCCACTGCACGATATAAATTTTAACGACGTTCGTCGAACACGAACATTTCCAGAGAGGACGAGATCGTAACTCCGCACCAAACTACCCTACTCAAGCTTCTTGATTCCCACCTACAACGTCCCCGCTCAAAAACCCCATTAAATGCGACAGATCGACTCGTTCGGAACGATCTCCTCCGCATGCTTACTGATAAGTTCTTCGCCCTATCGGCGTACGTTCAACAAACTATTCGCAAAGCGATGGGTCCAAAAGTCGATACCGTTGGAGCTAAGGATGCAGGTTCTGGTGGTGAAGCAGCTGCACTTAAACCACCTCAGGAACTGGACTTGTTGCTGCCGAAAGTCTGCGAGGCTCTGGTGCTAGTTACGCAATGCCTGATATCACTCGCATTGCACGCTGAGGAACTCGCCGGTGTCCCTGTCGGCTTATTAGCAGACAGGGCGCAATCAGAGCAGGCTATCTCGTATGCTGTCGGGGTGAAGATTTACTTGATGCAAGAGTGCTCGACCGACGGTGAAGAGCTGCCAAGAAGCATCGTCGGTATGTCATCCTTGCAATCCATCTACGCTGTATACGCGCGCTTACAACCATCGGAAAAAACTTGCGGCGAATAGACGTATTCGTTCCCCGGATCACCTTTGGCAAAGTAGTGCAGCGACCTCCGCCTCCAGGAGCGACTGCACAGGACACCGCCACTGAAGCTCATCCGTCCGCAGCTGCAGGCTTCTCGTACGTCAAGCGCGACCTCGTCCGACTACTCGGCATCCTCTGCTCGGAGAATAGGGATGTGCAGGATCGCATGCGTGAAGCTGGAGGTATCCCTGTCGTGATGAACCTCTGCGTCATAGATGACCAGAACCCATGTAAGCCGGATTCTTGTCGTCCACACAGAATGGAACATGCTGTTGAATGCTGTCCTGAATGTGCAGATTTGAAAGAACATGCAATTTTCACCTTGTGCAACCTCCTGCATGGAAATAAGCAGAATCAAAATGTTGTGAAGGAAATTCAGCCAGTCGGTCGGTGGGATGAGCACGGCGTATTGCAGAGTATGTAAGTCAGCAAAGAATCATCACTATATAGCGTTATTACATCTGTAGCAGAACCCTACTCCTCTTCCTCGTCGAACCCGATAGCCCTCCTCTTACGCCCGCCGGATGTGGTACGACGGCGCACCCCAAACTCCTCGTCCTCCTCCTCGCTTTCCACGTCCATGCCCTCTTCTCTTCGTCCCTCGTCCCTCGTCCACAGCACCTTCTTCCTGCGACTTCCCGCTCGATACTCTTTTTCGCTTGCGCTCCTCCTCTTGTTGAGCTGCGCCTCGAGCTTCTCCAGGTCATCTTCTTCACCTTCTTCTTCCTCCACCCGGCTGCGCCGCGTGCTCTTCCGTCTACTGGCCTCTTCGTCTGACTCGCCGTAAGCGTCGACTTCCTCATCTGAGTCGGCAACAAGAAAATAATTGTCTGGTACTCCCCAGGCCCCTTCTTGCTGCTCTCCTCATGGACACCTGCCTTCCGCTTCCTCCCAACCCTCCCGCTCGCACCCTCCTCACCATACTCATCCTCCGACCGCCCGCCAAATACGCCCTCTTCCTCGTCTTCTGACCACATATCTTCCCCGGAGCGCTTCCTCGTATAGCCTGTCCGCCTCCTGCGCGGGCCGCCGAGCCCGTCGTCCTCGCCGCGCGGCTTGCGAGGTTTGCGCGCCGCCTGGCGCATCAGCTCCAGTTTCTCGCGCTCCGGGTCCATCGTCGGGTCCGGCGCCATGCGCAGCCGCGCGACTTTGTTGTGCTTCTGCCCTACCGCACGCACGAGCATGCGGTGCGTCTCGGACTGCATGCCCGTCGGGCGCAACGACATGTAGCCCGTCGGGCGCAACGACATGTAGCCCGTGATGAGCGCCTCGCACTGCAGGATCTCGGCGCGCTTGTGCTGTGCGACGAGATAGGTGAGGCCCTGCGATTTGCCGGGTGTGGTCTGCGAGGACGAGATGACGGTCTGCGAAGGCTGTTGGCTGCTGCCAAAGGATTGGCGTGGAATTGCACCGGAAGTGTCGATTGTTTGTGTGATGTCAAAGAGCTCCTTGCCCAATTGCAGGTTGAGAGTCCCATCAGACCAACGAACTATCCGGCTGTTTGACTGCCTCCTTTGTTTATGAGCAAATGAATAGTCATTAGTGATGAGCCACAACACCCGCATGCGACTCACGTCCTGGCCATTCTTGTCTTTCACCCATCGCCATCGCACTGTGTTTTCGACTTTGAGCTTGATAGTCATGCTCTTCTCACCAACGCTCTCGGCTTGTTGCGTTTCTTCGTCCTCTTGCTCAGGACCTATGTAGGTGTCGGGATGGAAGGGGTTTGAATCAACCTTGACGAAATTTGGCATGCGAATCACCCAATACTAAGAAACGATAAGGTTCGACAACGTTGACATCTGATCAGACGGCAACTCACATTTCCATCCGAGCTTCGTGGGACAGGTATGTTGGGTATGGCAGCGTTCGCCTCGAGGACTTGCTGAACTATTGGCTCGCCACCCTCCCCGTCCTCTTCCGCATACTCCATAGCCTCCCTATGCCTTCTTTCTAGTGAAGACAAGCCATCGAGATGTTCGGCGTGCTCCGATGATGCCGGAGTCGCGACCCTAGAGGAATGTTATGCATGAGACGGAACATTGGACTGCGTACTCACTCGTCGTGTGTGACAACGTGTACGTCGTTACCTTCCGCCTCACCGAAAAGATCGTGCATGTCCTCATCCTTGACGTTAACGTCTGTGTGGCCATTCTCTGAGCCCAGCGCTGGTTCACTCATTGCGACGTCGTCCAAGGGTGGCTGGTACTTGGTTTCTTGCAATGCCGAGGGCAGATCCAGCGCGCCAGCAAGAGAAGACATTTTGGTGGATGGGTGTGGAAGAGGGGAGATCAGAGTAGAATGTCGGGCTCAGGATCGTCCTTATAACTGAACAAGACGAACCGCGAGTCCTTTTCCCACGTGGTCTGGTCGAAGTTACGCTACAGACAAGTCATCAAGATTTCAGAGTCGTCACTCGGCATCATTGTTCAACGTTCAACGCTCAACCTCTGAACCGCGATTGCGGGTCGTTGGTACGCTTGTGAGTTGTTGATTACGCTTACGCTTATAACACAAACACACCATAGCTTGTCCAAATCAAATCACTCAAGCTACATCCATTTTCCGTATCTCAGCTGTGACGCTCGGACGTATGCTAGTCCTGCCGCTCTTTAACTGTTCGTCACTGTGCAAACACGATTGTAGATGATTCTATTCATCTTGACTTGCAGATGTCGTTGCTTTCTCTGAACACCGATGTGCTCACGGAACTCATCTCATTCCTCGAAACTAGCGAAGCTTACCGGCTTTCCCTCACGACAAAGCAGCTACACATCCTTGCCATACGACAGATCTACCGTGTAATCAAGATCAATTGTTGTCAACATGTCGTAAACGTGTGTTTGCAATTGCTACAAGACCCCACAAAGCGCTTGGTCCTCGTACGTGAACTACGCATTGGCTCTGCCGCTCTGCAGCATGGCGACCAAGCCGTCGCCGCTTCACTTATAGAGGTACTTTCTCACCCTTGCGGAAAGAAGATCCGATGCTTGCAGCTGAGCATCGAATGGATTCTGGGGAGTCAGCCGTCCCTTGCCCATGCTGTAACGGCACTGCCAAATTTATTGCACCTTGAACTGAAAGGCGTCGACGCACAGTCCCTCGCAATGATTGGGAAGCTATCTTCCAGGCCTCGCAGTTTGGCTCT